AACCCTGACATTTGTGTTTATTATATTTGTGTTATTTCCAACCACAAGAGTTAAAAAGCTGAGATTCCCAGGTAATCACAAGGTTTCAAGGGCTGTGGCTTAAAGAAAAACACCAGATATTCCAAGACGCATGATACAATCTCTAGAGCTGGCAACCCTTTTTTGTGGTTTGCTATTATCTTCGACTACCCGCCTTCTCCGTGTTTCAGACGGGCAGCTGATTTTTTGAAGAATGTATTTATCAGCAATTGTTCATCTTAGGTATTTCTATAGTACCAGTTGCCTTGGCATTTAATGGTGGTGACAATAAAGTTGCTATCATCATCAAAACCTACATTTATATATTTATTGTCATCCCAAAGGATTCCAAAACATTGTACAAATTATGAACAAGTGCTTTGCTCAACATTGAAATATAGCTTTTTAACAGTGCATGCCAATGTTACCTTACCTAACATTTTAGGGAAGGACATAAAGAATACTGCTGGGACAATATTAGGTAGGTATAATGTATTGACCCAAGTTGGAATTTGGTTAAGATATTAATTAATGTACCTACTCAAGATAGATGCCATGGGAATTTGATGTCCGCATCTGATCTGGACTTTTATGCCTCATTCAAAAGATAGGACCCCCGCTCTATAATGGACCAATGGATCAGTACTTACATGAAGTGTCTTTCCAACCTTACTAATCCACTGACATTACTCCCAGCACCTACCAGGTTTTGTTGGAGATCTCTCCTTCATCCTCTCCCGACCCTACCCAACTTGTGAGATCGGACAGAATCCCATTACAGTGTGATAGAACTGTAGGACATAGTTATAGACTGAATTCTTTTCCCCATTGTATCTATTTAATATGTTGGATAAAAAATATAGACAGAACAAAGTCATTTCTCTCAAATGACTGCTTTTCTATAATTTTTCTGTGTTTTTACATTTACGCACTGTTAAAATATGCTATTATTTTCTGTATTTTTTTCATTAGTGATCTCTTTTGTTACAAAAGTAATCATTTGTTTTCCTTTTCTTTTTTTTAAGTAATTCATATCACCCTTTTTCTGGTCCATTAAGGCCCCTTTGCACCAAATAAGCGGTACAAATTGGCCTTAATCAACTGCTGACAGATAGTAGAGAACTCCCATTGCGCAGAAAACTTTCCAATGGTGGAAGCTGGAAATTCAGCTCCATCATTTCCTGCACCAGCCTTCTCCCCACCTCTGGTATAACAGCAAGGAGATGATATGGGGAGCAGGTTGGGGAGGCCACAATTCTATTAGCTAGGATATTATATTTATGGGTGATTTAAACCCTCAGGTTTTAGGGCATAAGACAACCACTTGCTGCCAGGAATTAGGAATAAATTTCCCCGATGGCTAGGTTATTTCATAATTGCCTGCTGTTGTGTGTTAAACCCTTCCTTTGAAGCACCTGGAACTGGGGGCTGTCAGAGATAGAATACTGAACTACTCAAACACAGGACTGATCTGGTATAACAATTCTTATGTTTCCATCAATTTCTCCCAACTTGATTCATCATTCTTTGGTTGAGCGCATAATAAAAAACCTCCTGGAGTTTCCACCATGCACAATGCAAGATCAATTTCCAATTTTTAGATGTTCAAATATATCACATTTTGTCAGGAAAATCTGCTGCAATTTAATGTTCTTGAGAACAAACAATTTTTTAGCCTCAGTGAAATAGAACTGTAAACTACTGCACATGGGGTCGACCTGGAGAAGCCAAAACAAAGAAGAAACACAGGATTTAATCTTCTGCAAGATCCTATCATTTGTGAAACTAGTTGTGCCAAACCCCACTGCACAGGCTGTTTTTTCATGATCCAGCCTACCATGCCTTAATCAGTCAAATGGAAGCCAAGAGAAAATAATCAGGGCTAGTTAGTTTCCATTGGCAAGCTGTTGTATGGATAAACAGCTTAATGTACAAGAAAACACTAATTGTAGAATCATAGAAGTGTAGGACTGGAAGAGACCTCAATAGGTCATCTAGTCAGTCCCCTGCACTCAAAGCAGAACTAAATAATAACTAGATCATTCCTGACAGGTGTCTAACCTATTCCTAAAAACCTCCAATGACGGAGATTCCACAGCCTCCCTAGGCAATTTGTTTCAGTGCTTAACTACCTGACAGTTAGGAAACAGAGTAGCAGCCGCAATCTGTTGCTGCAATTTAAACCCATTGCTTCTTGTCCTATCCTCAGAGGTTAAGGATAACAATTTTTCACCCACCTTATTGTAACAATATGTTTTTTTTTATGTACTTGAAAAATGTTATCATGTCCCCAGAGACAGATTATGGGTTTGTGGGGCTCTGGGCCAGAGCAAGTGGGGGCAGTCGTCCCCTTCCCATCCCTGGCACTCCTGCTGGGGAAACAGGGTCAGGGCATGGGGGCTTGCCCCACCCCACCTGTGCAGCGCTCCTGCCAGGGAGCAGGGTTGGGGTGCAGGGGCTGGCCCTGACCCACCCGCCTGGCACTCCTGCCGGGGAGCAGGGTCAGGGCACAGGTGCTTCCCTCACTCCCCAGCAGGAGCGCTGGGCGGGTGAGCGGAGCCGGGCGGGACACCAGGGGTGCCCATTTTTCCAGGGCCCCCAATTGGCCAGGGCTCCTGAGCGCAGGCCCCATTGGTCCAGTGGCTAATTCGCCACTGCATGTCCCTCATCAGTCTTCTCTTCTCCAGACTAAACAAATCCAATTTTTTCAGTCTTTCCTCACAAGTCATGTGTTACAGACCTTTAATAATTTGTGTTGCTCTCCCCTGGGCTTTCTCCAATTTGTCCACATCTTTCCTGAAGAGTGGCATCCAGAGCAGGACACAATACTTCAGTTGAGGCCTTGGCAACACAGAGTGGAAGAAATACTTCTCTTGTCTTTCTTACAACATTCCTGCTGATACATCCCAGAATGATGTTTGGGTTTTTTTGCAATAGTATCACACTGTTGACTCATATTTAGCTTATGATCCATTATAACCCCCAGATCCGTTCCTGCAGTACAGTAACTCCTCACTTAAAGTCATCCCAGTTAACATTGTTTCGTTGCTGATCAATTAGGGAACATGCTCGTTTAAAGTTGCGCAATGCTCCCTTATAACGTTGGGCAGCCACCTGCTTTGTCCACTGCTTGCAGGAAGAACAGCCCGTTGCAGCTAGCTGGTGGGGGGCTTGGAACCAGGGTGGATTGGCAGCCCCTCTTTCAGCTCCCTGCTCCCCTAAGTACCCTGTGGGCAGCTGCCCAGCAGGCTATCAATTGCAGGCAGTTCAGCTGTCCCTCCCCCACCTGCCCTGTGCTGCTCCTGCCCTCTGCCTTGGAACTGCTCCTGGCAGCCTCCTGCTTGCTGTGCTGGGGGGAGGGGGGGCGCTAAAGTCAGGGTGTCCCCATCCCCCCTGACCCCCACTTACCCCTTCTCCATATAGAGCAGAGTGGGGACATGACAGGGCTCACGACGGAGGGAGCTTGCTGGCCGCAGCTGCTGTCTCAACTTGCTGGTCTACTTAAAAAGGCAATGTACTTAGAGTGGGGTCAGCGTACTTAAAGGGCAATGCATCTATCTCTCTCTCCCCCACACACAGGGTGTGTGTCTCAGTCTGCCATGCTGTCTCCCCTCCCTCCATTCGTGCTGCCTTGTAGAGTGTGAGGCTACATTAACAACGTGTTAACCCTTGAGGGCTCAGCCAAATGCTAGTTCATCACTAAGCAGGAAGGTATTCCCTGGGAAGTATCCCACCCTCTTACTCCACCACCTCAACCAAGCTTCACAATCATCATTGCTGTCTACAGTATTAAATTGTTTAAAATTTATAAATTATACTGTGTGTGTATACACACACACACACACAGAGGTTTTTGTCTGGTGAAAAAAATTTCCCTGGAACCTAACCCCACCTATTTACATTAATTCCTATGGGGAAATTGGATTCGCTTAACATTGTTTTGCTTAAAGTTGCATTTTTCAGGAATATAACTACAAAGTTAAGTGAGGAGTTACTGTACTCCTTCCTAGGCAGTCACTTTCCATTTTGTTGTGTGCAACTGATTGCTCCTTCCTAAGTGAAGTACTTTGCATTTGTCCTTATTGAATTTCATCCTATTTACTTCAGAACATTTCTCCAGTTTGTCCAGATCATTCTGAATTTTAATCCTATCCTCCAAAGCACTTGCAACCCCTCCCAACTTGGTATCGCCCACAAACTTTGTAAGTGTACTCTCTATGCCAGGACCTAAATCACTGATGAAGATATTGAACAGCACCAGACCTAGAATTGATCCCTAAAGGACCCCACTCGATATACCCTTCTCGTTTGTTTAGGAGGTCAGGCGGAACAGTATCAAAAGCCTTACTAAAGTCAAGATATACCAGATCTACCGCTTCCCCGCTATCCACAAGGCTGGTTATCCTATCAAGCCTGAAACATCAACAAAAACTAATTCTATTTCTTACAAAAGTTGGAATTGTGCAGGTACCCACTATATATAATCCTATATAGTTTCTCCATACTAAGTTATGACACCAGACAAGAAAGAGAAACTGACTTAAATGCTATTTTAACTTTATACATCAAAAATGACCCTGGCTCAATTCTGTTCCATTGCATAAATAGGAATACCTCCACTGTTGCAATGAAGTTAAAGTTAGAGAAGAACCATGCTCAAAGAACTTGAATTTATAAAATAGTTTTAATTTAAGCATGTGTATTTTTATAAAGCAGCTGACAGTCCAAATTGTGCCCTGCCCTACAACCTCCCATTTTAGCAACAAAAGATCAAAGGTCAGAGCTTCAAAAAACATGTTTCGGCCCAAAATGGGTGAAAATAGCATACAACGCATTCCAGTGCTTGGTTATAGATTTCCTGTGGAAATGTTCAATAGCTTTCACTCTCCTTTGCCAATGGGAGTGGTAAAATGAATGCTTAGCATAGCCCAGGGCATGGCTCAGTATCATTAGCAAATTTAATAGAAAAATCTTGTACAGGATCTTTGCCTCATTTTCACGTTTTATTTTCAACAATGTCCATTAGATTTAGCATCAGAAATACTGGAGCTTCAGCACATTACCAGGCATAATATATTTGCCAATACCCCACTCTATATTTGAAAGCTAGAACAAAAATGCAGAACCTCAAGGACAAAATAAAAAAGCTTTTAAAAAATGAACATATTTGGTTCAGGTTGCAAAATGTCAAAAACTAGAAATCTCATACAGAGGCAGATTGCCAACTTAAATAAAGTTGAAATAGGCAGCATATGAAGTGACCCTTCTTGTATCCCAAGTTAATATGAAAATTCAGCAGCTGTATAAGTGGAATATCAAAAAGTGAAAAGTTTGGCTTTAACTGATTAAGGCATTCATTTGGAATAAGTGAAGTACTGTGTTCTAATGTGTAACTCATACCACTAGGTGGAGGTATTCATAGAGTTTAAGGAACATTTTATTTTCCTGACCATTTATTAAGGGACAAGCAATATCAACATTTGAAAGGAAAAAAAAAAAACCAAAGAAAATAAATAGAATAAAAGTATCCCTGCAACAGTTTATCACTTTAGGACAAAAGGTGCTATATATATATATAGGAAGAATAGAATATTATCCGGCGGTAGCACCACAGTAGTTCAGGCTGAGATGAGTGGATTTGAATGATTTAAAGACATGGTTATACAGAGTGTGTTGAATGATCAGGAAATGCTCTACCTAATTTTCTCTTATATGTTTGCATACGTTCAAGTAATGCTATCAGCTGGAAGCTCTAAAACATAACTCAGTTAAGCCCTTTAACAACATATACAAGCTGCCATCATAAGACTGTTAAAACTTTCATCATGCTTTTAAATTTAGCAAGACAATGGGCCTCGAACACAAACTAATCCTGAAACATTAGCAAAAACAAATCTTATTTCTTACAAATCACAATAGGGTATATGAAAAAAATCTGACAAAAGTTGTAATTGTGCAGGTACCCACTAAGACTATATTGGCCTCATTGACACAGGATCAGATCAGGTCCCTAGTCTAACCAACCCTGGAAATGCTGTGGACAGAGCATGAACTCAGCCCTATAAACATGGAATAACTTTGCTATTCTACAGCACCATCCTCCAGTCACCTGAAAAACCTGCAATAAGACTTCAAGAAAGATTTCAGCCTACTTTACTAGGCCAAATGATATTGCAGTGAAAAGGTCCAGGAAGACTAATAGATTTGAGAGAGATGAATGGGAAGGTCACTAGAGGTCAAACTCCAGCAACTGAAAGATCCAGTGTATGGCATTTTAGAAAAATCATTATTTCATGACGTTCTGTTTGAGCTTTGGATAGCTTACATTTAAAGTATGTGCACATCAGACAAAACTATAACGTAGCTCGGAGTAGGCAACCTATGGCACGCATGCTGATTTTCAGTGGCACTCACACTGCCCAGGTTCTGGCCAGCGGTCCAGGGGCTCTGCATTTTAATTTTAAACATTTTTAAAACCTTATTTACTTTACATACAATAGTTTAGTTATATATTATGGACTTATAGAGACCTTCTAAAAAAGTTAAAATGTAGTACTGGCACACGAAACCTTAAATTAGAATGAATAAATGAAGACTCGGCACACCACTTCTGAAAGGTTGCTGACCCCTGATGTAGCTATACTCCACTACTTTGCAGAAGCCACAATACATGCAAAACAAAGAAGTCACGGCTACTAGGGATTCTCTTGCTAAAACAATTAAGGGGTAAAAGTGGTGACAAGAAACCACTTTGGTGGAGGAGGGGAAGAGTGGCAGAAAGGGCAGGCAGCTAGGGCCAACTTGAAAACTAACTAGTACATAAAGTTAGTTGTATGTACTGATGGAACAAGACATGAAGACTGAAATTCATCTATTTCCAGCAAGAAACTAGTGAACTTTAAAAGCAAAAATCTATGTTGTAGAACCTAATAGGTGAGGTTAAACCTGGCAGCAGTAGTGAATAGTGTTCATTTAGGGCAGTGGTCCCCACTTAGCCATGTAACCTGTCCACACTCCACGAGCCAGAGCTGCAGCTGAGGCCACAGCCATGAGAAGGGCTAGGGTTAAGGTCAAACCCAGGGCCTCAGCTGGGGCCAGAGCCAGGGGCAGTGGCTTAGGTCCAGCTATGCCCCCCCCTAAATGTTCCTCCATGCCTCACCCCAGCTTGGAGACCACTGATTTAGGGGGTGTGATTGCCACTTCAAGGAAAAATATGCATTAATTCTGATTGAACTACCATGCTAAATGCAGTTTAGCCACAGTAGTGCAAGGGGCTAGTTGTCTGAAGTGCAGGGGTAGGGTCTCGGACAGCCACATTCCATGTAACTAGCCCATCCCACTGCTCATGCTGCTGTGACCACTCATGTTTAGTGTGCAATTCTAGCACGTTTTTCTTCAAATTAGGAATCAAATCACAGCCCTACCTCAAACTGTAGCCATAGCCTAAACCTTAGTGGCAGAATACATGAGGCAGAAGCCTATGTTCAGGGGCTGTTTGATTCAAGCAGACTTTGCTATTGAAAAAGACCAGTCCAGCTGAAGCTTTAGAAGAGAACCTGGGTATCTTGACTGCAGATAAAATTAAATACAGAATGAAAAGGCTACCATTAATCCTGCCTGTGAAGGACCTTTTCAGCTCCTCCCCTTAAGCCATAACTATTTGTAAACTAGTTTCCAAAGTGAATCTAGACCATTAGAAATCTGACTAATCATGTCTAAATGTTTTTGGAAGGAAATGTGACAATGACAGTCCACTTGTTGCTGGTAACAAGGGTGCTTTAGGTTGTTGGTATTATCCAAGTTTAAAAAACATTGTCAGTAATAACTATGTACATAAACATGCAAGTTGAGGAATAAATGAAATGCTCCACTTTATTAAGAAACCAAAAATACAAAACTGATGGATTCATGTACTTAATTGAACACTACTGAAAATTATTTCCCTTAAAAACTTCCATTTTGGTGTGTATAAGTGCCAGTAAGTTTAGTGTTAAAGTTGACATTTTCCACTATCTGTGCCGCAATAAGCTATTTTCAAATTTAGAACTTGCAGTGTGGTTTGGTAAAGACTTATGTAGTTCAGTCAAGCATGGAATTTGACTCAAGTTTTAACTAATTGTAACTTCAGTGGAAAGTGAGTTACAATGCTTAGCAAAGAGCCCATTTCACTGTATACACTGAGGAACACTCAGCCTTAACTATAGCAGAACACTAGCTCTGCTATAATTTGTACATCACTTAATATAAACAGGTATATTGAGGACTAGTTTCTGGTTGCTATAGTATGGAGCCCTCTGAATTTCAAAGTTCATTTTAATAGATCAATCTTCAGTTCTGGTTTGCAATTGTTTAGTTTTTTTTTTGTTTTTTTTTTTTTTAAAAGGCAGCATGGAGGTTGAGCTTGGTACTGTATTCCTAGAAAAGAATCTCTGCAAGCAGTATCTGTATTTCAAATCCAGCTATTAGGAACAGGTTTAGACCTGCATTTTACACTTGTTTCAATCCATTTACACTTGCCAATCCTTCAGGGACTGTCTACATGGTAAAGTAATGTGCACAAGGGGGTGGTGATTTTAAAAAGCATATTAACACATGCAGTAGTTGGCCCATGTCAGCCATACTTGTACACATTTCAAGTTCCCTGTTGCGTACACCAGGGAACTTTTAGTGTGCACAAGCATGGTCTATGCAGACTAATCCCCCCCAAGCACACATTACTTTAACCTGTAGACAAGCCCTCAGGTGTTCACTGCTTTTGTTTTCCCTAGTTAAGTTACACTTCAGGTTTTAAAAGTCAGTGTTTAAATCAGATAGGCTTTGAGCAGCTTGTAAGAGCTTACTAGATTACTTTTTAATTTACTACTTGTTGCATACGTAGTCCAAGTGTGAAAAATCAAATTAACATTCAATACTATATTAGCATCTATTCAAGGATAGGAGACATTTAAATTACTCCTAGCAATGCATGAAAGTTCACTTGTTTAGATATTTGAAATACAACTTTATTATGATCTAAACAAAAAAGGAATGGGAATGACAGTAACAAACAAGATTTACCACTGAATACTGTGATGTGACTGCAGCAGTCTTAGTTAGATTTGAAACTCAAGGGGGAAGTAATTGCAGTCCAAAAAAACAGCTAGATATGCAGGTCCAAAATATGAAGGAATTTTTTTTTTTTTTTTAAACTGCCACATTCACTCCGAAGCCCATTCATCTCTCAGCATCCCAAAGATTAAGCACATGTTCTGCTCAGCTAGATAATAAAGTGGCAAACACGCTGCACCACTGACATCACAGGACAGTTGCCTATAAAACTAGACTTCTGACGCTGGGCTCCAGCTTCATCCCTTACAGGTCATCATCTTCATCTGGCAGGGCAGTGGTCTGAGCAATCTGAAACAGAGAAAATTATATTTACAACTAGTTATAGAGTTTGAACTCCTTATAGCAGTTGATTTCTCAGGCATCAATGTTAGAGAAATGGACAAACATTTGCAACTCTGTACCATTTTGTTAGAGCAGTTACCTGTAAGTCTTGCTCATACTGTGCTGCCAATGCTGGGTCCATAACAACCTCTGGGGGTGCAAGAGCAGGCATGGCAACAAACTCCAAGTTGGGATCTCCAATTAGCTTCCTGGCAAGCCAGAGGAAGGGCTTCTCAAAGTTGTAGTTACTCTTAGCTGAGATATCATAGTACTGCAAAAGAGAACGGTCATATATACACACACAAAATATGTTAACACATCTACTGTTGGAAAGTCAGACCTTGTTATACAGCTAAGTTTGGCTCTGACCAGCATCTCAACTGCAAGGTCTTCACCTGCTTTACTCCCAGTGATTTTTGGGAAGCTAAAGTGGTTTGGCACACGATAGAAACAGGCCACTAAACAGTCCCGTAACAAAAAAGCAATTTAAGACATTTCAGTTGTCTATCCAGGCAACAGATTTCTGGACCTAAACCTTGATTTTTATTCTAATAAGAATCTGTTTTTATTTTTCTTAAGTGCACAAGGCTTTGTGAAGAGCTCCACCCTGAACAGGTTCACATTTGGCTGCTCTGAATTTTTATCAAATTCTAATGAATGTTATGTTACCCCTTTTACTGTGTTATCAGCTTCTTTAAATGATGAAGAGCTTTATATCAAGACTGAGGTCAGGGTCCTACATCTCAGGCAGAAGTCAATATTAGTCCTAATGAAGGGAATATAGCACCTTTAATCTCCTATCTGAGTCAATTGTTAAGATCCTCAATTCTGTTCTTATGGAAAAAAAGAAGCGATTTGATGTTTTACTGCATTTGTAGTTAACTATCATTGGTAATGAGAAATGCATAAGTGCGCAGCATTGCATTTTACCTTCAAAATAAAAGGGCTGCAATAGTACTGTTTAGGTCAATAGACGAGAATCAAAACGTAAGATTCCTGAAAACAGACAGCCATCATACCTGAAGATTCTTCTTCCTGTGGAAGACAATTGACTTTGCCTTGACTTTTCTGTCCTTAATATCCACTTTGTTGCCACACAACACTATAGGGATGTTTTCACATACTCGTACCAGATCTCTATGCCAGTTAGGTACATTCTTGTATGTAACTCTTGATGTTACATCAAACATGATGATGGCACACTGAGCTGAAAGATAATTCAAGCTTTCATATTATTTATTTATTGAAATGTATACTAGCGCTGGATGAAAGATATATGAATGGGTGGTCCTCCTGTAAGTACAGCCCTCCATCCGTCCACTCTATTTCACACTTCTAATTTTCCGCCTAAGAATTCTGTCAGGATACCTCCTGCTTAATAAGCAAAAAGAATATAGGAGTTCCTTAGGCCAGCCCAGGATTATTTGCCTGCTTGCATTTTAGGGTCCAATCCTACAAACACTAAGGCACCCAGTAAATGTATTCATGCAAGTAATCCTATTGAAAACCATGGTATTACGTGGATAGGGCACACACAGAGGCTTCCCCAAGAAGTTTGATTTGCCCAAATATTTATCAAAAACATGATCCAAATAGGTGTAACCCTGTCTCAGACAACCTATTCTGGCCTTGAGCTACTTGAGAGCTTATGGTACATCTCAGGATGACCTTGTCTCCCACCCTAGTCCAAGGAGCTTTTCAAAGAACGAAGAGGCCAGACTTTGTTTCTCATATTTCTAAAGGCAGGTAAGAGGACAAACTCTTTAAAGATGTTCTGCAAAGAATTAAATACAGAATTTATATACCAGAATTTATATATTAAATACAATTTAAAAGAATTAAATTGACTCAACTGAGTCAAATACATAAGGAATTTAGAAAAATTTAAAGGGAAAAACTCCTGTTTAATGCAGTTTCCAATTCTCTTTAAGGGGGCACTAAGTCTGGCAAGTGATTTCTTGATTAGTTTGTTATGCCATTTAACTTTACTGGAGAGTTCCACAGATTATTAGAAAACAATATACAGAATAGTGTGACTACTTCCTCATGCTGACATGGCTACAATTTGCTTAGGGTGGGATGTTCTTTTTTGTACAACTATTGTCATATTTCTGACCCCTCCCTGTGAAGTTATGGGGGAGTTACTGTAAATATTCTGCAGTTTTACACTTACCCTGAATATAATAACCATCCCGCAGACCACCAAATTTCTCCTGACCAGCCGTGTCCCATACGTTAAATTTAATAGGGCCTCTGTTAGTGTGGAACACCAGAGGATGGACTTCAACACCCAGTGTAGCTGTAATTAAAACATTAAATTTAGAAACTGCTTATGTAATATTTGAAACTAGTACTAGAATTCTCCAAGTGTTTAAACATACCTACATACTTCTTTTCAAATTCACCAGTCAAATGACGTTTTACAAATGTTGTTTTACCAGTACCACCATCGCCAACCAAGACAAGCTGTTGAAAGATTGCAGAAAACAAATCAAGCCAACACATTTTAAAGTCTCTTTATAAAATAACTGTCACCTATTAACCACTTTTAGGTAATTTTTAATTAAAACACCAATCCTATAAATTTTCTCCATGTAGGGGGATTACATGGTTTCGTTTTTTTAATTATAAGCTACCTAAAAGCAGTTAATGGCCAGCTTGTTATATATTTCATTCTTTGACATTACCTCAATTTCAAGTTGCCTTATGCAACACCATATAGCTTTCAATGTAAATAAAAGTGTTAAATTTGGTTCTATCAGTTACAGATTATTAAATCCAGATAAAAGAACATTCTAGATTTGGCCTTAGAGTGCAGGTTCTTTAAGAACATCTTCTTAGAATGTTGTATAGAACCATTTCAATTTTAAAAAATTGAATCAGTTAACAAGACCCTCCTACAGTGCCTGTAATTCAAACACTACAAGTGTTGGACAAGCACATTAGAGCCACAGCATGAAGTTGACTTGCATTGTCCAAACCAAGTAATATGCAACAGTATTTGAGTTTTTAGAAAAGAAAAAACTATTTACCTTCCCTAGTGTTTAATAGGACATTAAATAATAAATAATTTGTGTAAAATAGGAAGACAACCACAAACACCCAAGATTTATACACACTCTCTCAGACTCCTTGCTATAACACTGCACTAAACAGCAAACTACCTCAAATTAGTTTTTCCTGCCATCTGACATTTCCACACAACACAGGAAAGTAATGGGGTAAGTTAGGAGACTACCTCAGAGCAAAAAAGTGACAAAGGAACTAGGGAGAGGAAGCATTTGGAAGTACTTTTAATTCATAATCGGCTTAGATTTTATGTTGTGCACCACAACGATTTAAAAAGTTTAAACAAACTACAATTCGAATTAGGAACAACAGCTAACATGCATGGCATAATGGAAATTCACTCTAGGCCCTAGCCTGTGAAAACTTACTGTACAATGGTAAGTAGAGTAAAAACCTCCGCTCCAAACCCACGGCTGCCCTAACACCAGCGAGTCAGACCTGCCCGCACAACGCCAGCTCCTTACCTTAAACTGCACTTGGGGCTCTCCTTGGGCGGCCATGCTGGGTCTGCGGGAGAAATGGCAGCATGAGAGCTCAGCCCGCCAGACAGCGCAGGGCCCGGTGCTCTGCGCTGCGCTCACCGGCCGCCTCCGGCGCAGGGGCCCGGGCTCCTCCCAGCCCGCCAACTGCCCGCGTGGTCCCGGCCCCATTCATCGGGACAGGAAGCGCCGCGCCGCATGGGGCGCGAGAACGAGCGATAATGGCGGCCGCATTTCCCCCCGCCCCCATCCTAGAGAGGGAGCCGCCTGAACCCCACTTTCGCCAGGCTCCATACGGGGGGACTGAGCCACGGGGCCTGCAAGGCGCCCCCCGGGGAAGATGAGCCTGGACTCGCCCCCGGGGGTGCCCGCCCCAGTTCCCTCCTTCCGCGCCACCATCCCGCCGCTCACGGGAGACCATCTCGGTACCTATCAAGCGTCGGCCCGGGCTTGGGACTCCGGAGGGGCCCAACCTGCCTGCCGCTCCCCCCACCCCTCCAACGGGCCTCGCGGCCTCCCAGCGCCACGATGACAGAGCAGCGCGCGCCACTTCCCCCCCCCGCCCGTACCCAGGCCGCATCAGGCTCCTGCTCTGCTCCTCCAGCCAGGCCTCTGCCGCGCCTCATCTGGCGAGCGGGCCCAGACACCCCATCGCGAAAGAAAGGAGACGGGAGCGGCCCCCAGCCAGGCCTCACCTCCCCCCCCAGCCCCCTTCCTAGGCAGCGACCGGCGACTACCATCGCCCTCGCTCATCCCTCTATCCCTTCCTAAGCCCAACCCACTTCCCTCGAGCCCTACGGGGAAAGGGAGGAGGCCTGGCCCCGTTACCTTCCCGAGACGTCTCTCGGTGTCGCTCCCCTCAGTGACTAGGCGCTGGAAAGATGGCGGAAGCGCGGTTCAAATACCCGGAGTGCGACGCCGCGCGGACACAGTGAGAGGAGGGCGTGGTCTAGCGTCACGTGATAGGAGGGGTGGACGGTGAGTTCCCTCCCTCTGACAGCGCGCGCCGCTTCCGGAGGCGTTTTTCTAACCGCCGGTGGAATGCTGGGAGACCACGCGCAAGCGCTACGTTAGCGGCACAGAGCGAAAAGAGAATCAATCGCTCTTCCGGATCTAGAGACGCGGGAATCAAGACGCTCGCGCCCCGCCCACGCGATGTGACGTAGAACGCTCGCTCTGGTGGCCCGTGCTCAGAACGCGGGCGTGCGCCGTGCTCAGAACGTGGGCTCGCTCGTGGCCCGTGCTCAGAACGCGGGCGTGCGCCGTTTGCGCGCGCTGTGCAACCCGCCACCCCCCGTTACTTCGTCCGCTCCACGCCCCTGCCTTATGATGAGGACATGGACACAGACTTCTCGCAAAGCATGGGCTCTAGCAATGTGGGCATCATGGTGCTAATGGGCCCAGAAAACAAGCACAAACTGGTGTGACCGCATAGTGTTGTGGCTCTGGGACGCTTCCCAGTGCTTGAGAAACTTTCGCATGCTTAAGAGCACTTTCATGGAACTTTGTGACTTGCTTTCGCCTGACCTGAAGCGCAAGAATACCAAGATGAGAGCAGCCCTCACAGTTGAGAAGCGAGTGGCAATAGCCCTGTGGAAGCTTGCAACGCCAGGCAGCTACCGCTCACTCAGGAATCAATTTGGAGTGGGCAAATCTAATGTGAGGGCTGCTGTGATGCAAGTAGCCAACGCAATCAAAGATCTGCTGCTATCAAGAGTAGTGAGTCTGGGAAATGTGCAGGTAATAGTGGATGGCTTTGCTGCAATGGGATTCCTTAACTGTGGTGGGGTGATAGATGGAACCCATTTCCCTATTTTGGCACCAGAGCACCAAGCCAGCGAGTACATAAAATGCAAGGGGTACTTTTCAATACTGCTGCAAGCACCAGTGGATCACAAGGGACATTTCACCAACATCAACATGGGATGGCCGGGAAAGGTACATGATGCTCGTGTCTTCAGGAACTCTGGTCTGTTTCAAAAGCGGCAGGAGGGGACTTTCTTCCCAGACCAGAAAATAACCGTTGGGGATGTTGAAATGCCTATAGTTATCCTTGGGGACCCAGCCTACCCCTTAATGCCATGGCTCATGAAGCCGTACACAGGCAGCCTGAACAGTACTCAGGAGCTGTTCAACTGCAGGCTGAGCAAGTGCAGAATGGTGGTAGAATGTGCATTTGGATGTTTAAAAGCGCGCTGGTGCAGTTTATTGATTCACTTAGACCTCAGCAAAACCAATATTCCCACTGTTATTACTGCTTGCTGTGCGCTCCACAATATCTGTGAGTAAGGGAGAGACCTTTATGGTGGGGTGGGAGGTTGAGGCAAATCGTCTGGCTGCTGGTTACACGCAGCCAGACACCAGGGCGGTTAGAAGAGCACAGGAGGGTGCGCTGCGCATCAGAGAAGCAGTGAAAACCAGTTTCATGACTGGCCAGGGTACTGTGTGAAAGTTCTGTTTGTTTCTCTTTGATGAAACACCCCCATCCCCTTGGTTCACTCTACTTCCCAGTAAGTGAACCACCCTCCCCTCCCCTCTTTGATCACCACTTGCAGAGGCAATAAAGTCATTGTTGCTTCACATTCATGCATTCTTTATTAATTCATCACACAAATGGTGGGATAACTGCCAAGGTAGCCTGGGAGGGGTCGGGGAGGAGGGAAAGACAAGGCCACACTGCACTTTAAAACTTAAAAAATTTAAAACTTATTGAATGCCAGCCTTCTGTTGCTTGGGCAATCCTCTGGGGTGGAGTGGCTGGGTGGCCGGAGGCCCCCCCACCGCGTTCTTGGGCATCTGGGTGAGGAGGCTATGGAACTTGGGGAGGAGGGCGGTTGGTTACACAGGGGCTGTAGCGGCGGTCTGTGCTCCAGCTGCCTTTCCTGCAGCTCAGCCATATGCTGGAGCATATTAGTTTGATCCTCCAGCAGCCTCAGCATTGAATCCTGCCTCCTGTCATCACGCTGCTGCCACCTATCATCTTCAGCCCTCTCTTCAGCCCACTACTTACTGTCTTCAGCCCGCCACCTCTCCTCGCGTTCATGTTGTGCTTTCCTGCACTCTGACATTGTCTGCCTCCATGCATTCGTCTGTGCTCTGTCAGTGTGGGAGGACAGCATGAGCTCAGAGAACATTTCATCGCAACTGTTTTTTTTTAGCCTTCTAATCTTCGCTAGCCTCTGGGAATGAGAAGATTCTGTGATCCTTGAAACGCAGGTGGTGGAGAAAAAAAAAGGGACAGTGGTATTTAGAAAGACACATTTTCTAGAACAATGGGTACACTCTTTCACGGTAAACCTTGCTGTTAACATTACATACGTAGCACATGTGCTTTCGTTACAAGGTCGCACTTTGCTTCCCCCCACGGCATGGCTAACAGCAGGGAACGGGCACCTCTGAATGTCCCCTTAAGAAAAGCACCCTATTTCAACCAGGTGACCATGAATGATATCACTCTCCTGAGGATAACACAGGGAGATAAAGAACGGATGTTGTTTGAATGCCAGCAAACATAAGCTGCAATGCTTTGTTGTACAATGATTCCCGACTACGTGCTACTGGCCTGGAGTGGTAAAGTGTCCTACCATGGTGGACGGAATAAGGCTGCCCTTCCCAGAAACCTTTTGCAAAGGCTTTAGGAGTACATCCAGAAGAGCTTTATGGAGATGTCCCTGGAGGATTTCCCCTCCGGACACATTAACAGACTTTTCCAGTAGTTGTACTGGCAGCGAATGCCAGGGCAAATTAATCATTAATCACGCTTGCTTTTAAACCATGTATACTATTTAAAAAGGTACACTCACCAGAAGTCCCTTCTCCGCCTGGCAGGTCCGGGAGGCAGCCTTAGGTGGATTTGGGGGTATTGGCTCCAGATCCAGGGTCAGAAACAGTTCCTGTCGGGAAAACCGGTTTCTCCGCTTGCTTGCTGTGAGCTATCTTCCTCGTCCCCAAAACCTGCTTCTGTGTTACCTCCCACTCCACTGACGGAGTCAAAGCACAGGGTTGGGGTAGTGTTGGCTGAACCCCCTAAAATGGCATGCAGCTCATCATAGAAGCGGCATGTTTGGGGCTCTGACCTGGAGCGGCCGTTTGCCTCTCTGGTTTTCTGGTAGGCTTGCCTCAGCTCCTTAAGTTTCACGTGGCACTGCTTCGGGTCCCTGTTATGGCCTCTGTCCTTTATGTCCTGGGAGATTTTGAAAGATGTTTTGGCATTTCGAAAACTGGATCGTAGTTCTGATAGCACGGATTCCTCTCCCCATATAGCGATCAGATCCCATACCTCCCGTTCGGTCCATGCTGGAGCTCTTTTGTGATTCTGGGACTCCATCATGGTCACCTCTGCTGATGAGCTCTGCACTCACCTGCAGCTTGCCACGCTGGCCAAACAGGAAATGAGATTCAAAGTTCACGGGCCTTTTCCTGTCTACCTGGCCAGTGCATCTGAGTTGAGAGTGCTGTCCAGAGCGGTCACAATGGAGCACTCTGGGATAGCTCCCGGAGGCTAATACTGTCAAATTGCGTCCACACTACCCCAGATTCGACCTGGCAAGGCCGATTTCAGCGCTAATCCCCTTGTCGGGGGTGGAGTAAAGAAATTGATTTTAAGAGCCCTTTAAGTCGAAAAAAAGTGCTTCGTCATGTGGATGGGTGCAGGGTTAAATCGATTTAACGCTGCTAAATTCGACCTCAACTCCTGGTGTAGACCAGGCTTGAGACAGCTCATTTCCCACATTCAAAGCTTAGCAGGATCAGTTCTACCAGTCATAAACTAACTTCCATGTAGTTTAAGGGGTTTTCCTTGAGATTATGGACATCAAAAGGCCCATCGTCAAAGATCCGACAGCAACCTTTTTAAACGTGTATTGGTTTTCCCATAGGTCTTTGGCTAAAATATACTCTCCTTGTCCTATTCTTTGCAATAGTTAGTTGACATATTCCTACTTGAGAGATAGCACCACTTTAGCATTTCTATAATTTATTAAGTGCTTCAGATCCTTTGTGCTATTAAACATAATCTATTATTTATTGTTGGTTTTCTATGTGGATAATTTTCATATAACGTATACTGAGTTTAAGATCAAGGTTTTAAAAGCCTTGTACTGTTTGTTGCCATTTCCATGTATTTAAGATGGTATTGTAAATGCAAAGTGTTACTGATGTTTTCCTTTGGTAAAGAATTACAGAGCTTGTTCCCCTACAGTAGTTTTTCTCATTGCTTCTAGAGGTCAAGAAGGAATTGGTTTTAGAGATTTTTTTAATCACATTCAGTATACATAGCTTTTTTCACCTTAAATTCTTTCAGGACAGCAGAATTCTTTATAAAGCACTCCTCCCCTGTACCAAATGATCGTTTGAGTCACATCTTTCTTCCTTAAAACTAAGTATGCCTGTAGGAGCTAAGTATTTAATACCCGAAGTCCATAACAATAAATTGCATGAACATTATAGCAGCTTTTAACAAGAATACAGAAAACATTTCAGTCTGTACCTTTATTTGTATGGTGGTTAAATACAGATTTTATGAGTTTCTAAATACTGGTCCAGAGTAATTAGTAAACGTTGTTTGACTTCAAACAGAGTCATTGAATGATGTTCTGAGTTAATTCAGTGATCTGAAATGCTTTAGAAATACCGTGAATACATTTCAGGATCTTAGTTCACAGAAGATGTGTTGATTTAGGATTATATATATATATATATATATATATATATATATATATATATAAAAGAGAGAGAGAGAGAGAAAATTGTGGGTGTATTAAAATATATATATTACATTTTGTCAGGTCATACATACAGAGAGCTAGAGAGCACGAAAGGCTTCCTTAAGGCTATCTCTGCACTTGGAGCTGGGGTGTGTGATTCCCAGCTTACATACCTGCACTAGCTCTCGTGTGCTACCATTAGCAGTGGAGCCAGGGTGGCAGGTTGGGCTAGCCAACCTAGTACATATGCAGGGAGTCCAGTGAGATAAATACACGGGGCTGCTAGCCCAAGATGCCTCCTGTGCTACCCCAGCTACATTGTGTTATTGTTAGCACACTACTTCAAGTTGAGAGAGCTGGGAATCTCTACGTATGGATATAGCCTGATTGGGCGGGGGGGGGAGGAGGAGGAAGAGAAATACAGTAGTGTGGATTTGGAAAAGGAAGACCATTTGTCTATGAATAGGAACATACAGAGTGCCATACTGCTTCAGTCTCTGTCTAGGCCAGTATTTTGTCTCTGACAATGGCCAATTCTAGATGGTTCAGAGGATTGAATGAGAACCCTGCTGGAGGCAGTTGTAGGATAATCTGTCCCCACATTAGATCCGCAAAGAGATTTAAGTCCCAAAATTTATATCCTCAAAATTTCCCATGCCCATGTTTAACCCTCGGGGGCACCTACATTTCCTGAGCAGTTAAGTTTCTGCCAATAAGAAAGGTGCCTAAATTTCTTTTGGCGGGGATGTGCAAAGCGGCCTAAATCCTGACACTGCTGAGCAAATCAGTGCCCTCAGGGGCAGGTCTACACTACAGGGTTAAGTCGACCTAAGTTACGCAACTGCAGCTACATAGCTTAGGTCGACTTATTGTGGTGTCTGCACCACACTGGGTTGACGGGAAAAACTCTCCCGTCGACTTACCTTAGGCTTCTTGTTTCAGTGGAGTACCAGAGTCAATGGGAGAGCGATCTGTGGTCGATTTAGCAGGTCTTCACTAGACCCGCTAAATCGATCCACGGTAAGTGTAGACATGCCCTAAGACATAGCAAGATCCTTAACCTAGGTGTTCTCTCACCTATCTAGCCTGATCCAATAAGTGTGACTAGATGCCACCTACTAGATCAGGCATCACCCAAAACATGCTGCCACACCCTCCCTTACACATTCTAGCCTAATGGTAGAGCACTCACCTGGGATGTGGGAGACTCAGCTTTGAATCCCCACTCTTTCTGATTTGGAGCAGGGACTTGAACCCAGTTTTCCCATCAGGATGCCCTAACCACCAGGCTTTAAAGTAAGATAGGTTGGATTATTTTCATTCTCTCCTGTTGGAGCTATTCCATTTTGTGTAAGATACTTACAAATATTCATTGGAGCTGGGCCTGGAGTCATTCTGGCTCTCTTTCTGGCCCAACGAATTAGGTAGGGGGAATTTAAACCCACATCCTGGGTGAGTGCAATAACCACTGAACAAAAGGAAACCACTTCATTTTGTGGGAAGAGCTGAGCTGGCTGAGGCATCTAAATATAGGTGAGGGTTCACTCATGTGAATCTCAAGTGGAGGAAGGCACCTCCTACCTGTCCAGAGTTTAGATACCCCTCTCCTCAGAATTTCCCGCTAGCTAAACTTGCTAGGTTTTATGAACTCCAGTCTTAGCCACCTCACTCCCCTTTCACTGTATAAAGAGGCTGGTACCTAATCCATCACTGTGCAGTCTATCAGGAAGCAAGGCACCTACATGTTAGATGTTTCAAAACTGAAGCTAAAGGCTTAATCAATGCTGGGGGTGGGAGGGATTAAACTGGATTCATTTGACACACTTTTTTTAACTGGCAGTACATAACTGGCAGTAATGGTATACAGACAGAACAGC